TGTCATTTACAGGGTCGTGTATATCGGTATGATTACATCAGATTTATTTATAATATTAAATTTCCCACTGATGACTAAGGCTTACCTCATATCCATGTTTAGAAGAGAAAGGTAAAATACCGATGTCACCTTTATACTGATGTATATACATGCCTCTAAGCGCACGCAGCGTTATATTGAATATGTAAAAAGGAATGAAAGTAATTGAACGTTTAAACATAAAGAAACATAAATCATGTCTTCAACAAAATGATTTATGATTACAGCACATTTTTTTTACAGCCATACTGCAGGAACTTTGGGTTTGATACGCATTTAGGTAAAATTATTATAGATATAATGCATTTTGATATTTTTCTATAAAATACACAAACATACATGTATGAATTAATATAAAATTTGAACATTTCTTCATGATTAATCTAGTCACGATGTATTGTTCGTTATTGTATATAGTTACTTGTTACCCGTCACAAAATTCGATCAATCTTTTTAGTATTCTTTATAAAGAGGGATGACGTATTCGTTCGATCGCCATACATTTTCCTGCTTTCACATCAACTCGATATAGATTCTACATTCAAGGTTAAGCTCGCGGTATAAAGATTGCACTCATTTCGCCAAACATGTAAGACTAAAGTGCTTATCCATATAACATGATCATCAAGTGACATAAAAACATATAAAACAAATTAAAACCAATTCTTTGATGTCCAGAAAATTTGCACGTGAAGTAATACATGCACTTGTAATAATCAAATAAGATCGAAACCAAGTTTACAGGCTATAATAAAGGTTATACTATAACACTGTTAATTATGTCCGCGTATAATGTACGTATGTCTTCAACTTATCTTTGATGAGAGATGCTTATAACCTGAAGAAAATAGTACTGAATGGGAAATTATTTTAAAGATAGCAAAATGTAAACAAAGTAGTATTTTGACTACCATACAAAATACTAATTTTAATTTTGACAGAATGCAACAGAAACAAAAGATGGCTCAGCTTTACGGCCAATAAGTAACCCTTTAAGAAACATAAATAAAAAGCTGTTAAAATTAAAAATGATTGCATTTCTGAGGCTTAATACGTATTTAACCTACAAACATAAATGAAACTCTGCATAAATTATATATTTAAATGTATATATTAAACTTATTTTTGATGATTCAGGACCAGTTGTTTAGTCGTTAAATAATTGTACCAATATATACTTATAAAGACTACTATAACAGGAACGTACGCTAACGCCACCTTCTTGCAAATCATCGCAATGTACAAAATATAAATTGTTACATCATATCTTTTTTCGTGAAGAATAAAAATTACCGTATGACATTTAAACAATGTCACAAACAAAGTATGACAAAAAGCGGTAGGTGTCGTCATATATTATATATAGCAGCGTGAAATTGGTGAAATTTGTATTTATACTTTAAAATAATATAATTGTGTACAGCAAAAACCTCTGTTGACAACGTTGTATAATATGTCTCTATTGCATCTGTGAGGAACATAATATTATAAACAAGTGAACATACGTTTTACTTGCCACCAAAATAATATGACCTTCTGAAGCTAATAGTCATAGCTTATGTGGAAATCTAACCACACACGCGATTTTTGTCATGCATATTGTATATGCAGTCCTCAAAACGTATTCAAGATAATTTAGTTGCAACATGAAATATACAAGTAGCTAAACCCATAATAGATATAACTGTTACTTTATATTGATTCAAATTTTGTAATCATGTCTCGTTCAGGGATGTTTTCCTTTCATCATTATTTCAAATCTGAGACCCTGAGACCACTGTATTTTAAATTTATTTATATATACATATACGTATACATTATGTAACCACATGATGTGAGATGCACCTTTCATATCAGCTGATAATTTTCAAGGTTAAATCATACTGTCATTGTTTTGTCCAGACATCAAACAAATGCGCTCACTATACAAGCATGTAAATTATTTGCTCATTCCGTTTCATTATTGAGGGCTATCACATATATTTATACAAGTTTTTTCTCTCAGAAGGTAAATAAGTGAATCAGAAGTAAAATACTAATAGCTATTAGGTAGTCACTGAGGCCGGACCAGTCGTTCAACTAAGGAGATCACCTGACTTCGCCATTAAAACCATATCAATTTTCCCCAACAAAACATGGATATTTTTACTGGACTTTTGCGATACATAGTGCAAACATATAGACCATATTAGTAGAACATTAAATTTGTTGAAAAATATCAGGTTTGCTTATTTGAAGGAGATATCAACTTTTTATATAGATAACCAGAACAGAAAGACTAGATAAAGAAAGTAAGACATTGGTTTATTATCGGAAGTGGGTAAATGACATTATGAGTAACGTTCTATATTTTGATAATAGTGCAACATTTACGTACACGTGTACCACTTTACGTCAATGCCGTGCAAGTACACTTTATATCCAAACTACATGTATATGTATGTATTGGAATATTCGTTATTCTTAAAATGATAAAAATACATAGTGATAATAAAACATAATCGTGCACAAAAGTGAGTGTATATCAAAATCCCCTTGATCATAATCCCCTTGGTTGAAAAATGACATAGTGATCGAAATCCCCTCAACAGAAATGACCGGGTGTTCATAATCCCCTTGATGGATAGTCAAAATCCCCTTGGCAAAAATGATGGGGTGGTCAAAATCCCCTCAACTTGTGAAAAACAACCCCCTTTACTCAATATTAGCTAGTGTGCAACAAATTTGCCTTTAAAGGTGTTTATCATTGCAAAGATTAATTGATTGTTTGTTACATATAACTATAATTGCAATGATTAATTATAATCAACTATCATTTATTTGTTTGTATTTTACAATTTTCTCAGCAATAATAACATCAATAAAGGGTGTCATTATTAACTGGCTGTGACAAACATACACCTTTTAATTGTTTGTATGCTTTTCTCTTTTTTTTTCAGCAATTCTTGAAGCAGTTGGTTCTTAAATTCATTGAACTAAAAAGAAAAATAATTTGAACAAATTTAAAACTTTATTATCTAGTACTCAGAGTAGCATTTTAAACAAAACCTCAAGATATATATATTTAGCTAATGTTAAAAGAAATATGTAATGACCATATTGCATTTTTTCACCATTTTTTAAAATGAGTTTGTAATTATTGTTATACCTTGTTAACAACTTCCTGCATTGTGTTGATATTGTAAAATAATACAAAAGAATTAAATAAGACTAATGTCATTTATTGACTAATCAATTATTAAATGTATGTATTATCTACAGCTGTAACTTTATAATAACATACTTTTCTCAATTGTACATTATATCCGCCATACAGTTGTGTATTGGCGATGAACATTGTATATGTTTATGCCAAATAAATATTGAATTGAATTGAATTGAACTATCATTTATTTGTTTGTATTTTACAATTTTCTCAGCAATAATAACATCAATAAAGGGTGTCATTATTAACTGGCTGTGACAAACATACACCTTTTAATTGTTTGTATGCTTTTCTCTTTTTTTTCAGCAATTCTTGAAGCAGTTGGTTCTTAAATTCATTGAACTAAAAAGAAAAATAAGAAAAGAAATTATTTGAGGGGATTTTGACTACCCACTGAGGGGATTATGACCACCCCTTTATTTTTGCCAAGGGGATTATGATAACCCTGTCATTTCTGTTGAGGGGATTTCGATCACTATGTCGTTTATCAACCAAGGGGATTATGATCAAGGGGATTTTGAGCGTCTCCCGAAAGTATAATAACAACATCTATGTAAATTACTTTTTGGTCTCTACCCTCTCTGGTAAGTTCCGACTGTGATGAATATCTATGATACGACACTGTCTTGATTTTACTAGCATGTTGCAAATATTGCAATTTTAACAGCAAAAGGCGTCAAATCGTCTAATATATGTTTGCAGCTACAAATTATCGTCTGCTAAAACCTCGCCATGATTGACAAAATAAATGCCTCTTGTCATCGATTCTGCTGTTTTTGACAACTCATTTGTAACTTTCCTGTCGAAATTATGATGTACAACATTTTGATTATTGCTAATCTCTCTTTTTGCAGACACCATGATTTAATCAAAATCACAAAAAGACGATTTGAATGAGAATGTTCAAGTTATAGATGAACATTTATTTCAATAATTGAATGTAAAGGCGATGGCTTCGTAACAGACAAACGACTAACAATTTTTGATAGTCAGAATTGTATTGTATTTTGACACACTAATGTTGTATAATTCGGACACTGTTTAAAACTTATCACATTTTTATCTGTCAGTGACATACGTTTATGTAAGTACTTTTTTATCATTTCTGATAAAACGAATCAAGGTTAAATTATTCTAGTACCACGGTCAAACATCGCGTTTGCTCGAGTTTATGTACAAGGTCATTACAACGCAATGTAAAAGATTATTAACTAGGAGAAATTTCACAAACTAATACAAAAATAAGGGAGAGGAACTATATAAGTTTTCTTTCGTTCTAATCCCTTTCAATTTATGTAACAATTATATATATATATATATATATATATATATATATATATATATATATATATATATATATATATATATATATATATATATATATGTAAAATATTGAAATAAATATGTTTAAACTAATACAAAAATAATAACTTTAAAATGTATATATATATATATATATATATATATATATATATATATATATATATATATATATATATATATATATATATAAAATGTAATATATGTAAAATATTGAAATAAATATGTTTAAACTAATACAAAAATAATAACTTTAAAATATAACAATCTGTCTATACACAGGAAAAAGTTGAATTTCATACAAGTGTAGGTGAACTTTGACTCACCAAACTGGCTGTATATTTTATGTTTACTAAGTAATTATGGAGTGTTGGTATTTTAAAACATTAGCTGATATACTCAGTACAGATCGAAAAGATAAACAACAAATATTAACTAAATTTACAAATTTATTACAAAATACAAAATATACAGACATTCTGCTTAACATACATTATGAAACATAACCATGTGATATATTACCCAAGTATATATTAATATAGCGAAATAAACATGTATAGTGTTACCATAATCAGTCATTGACTTTTGTAAAATATACATTATTTACACAATTCGGAGTGATCTCGGACTGGCAAAACAGGTCAATGTTATCATAATACTTGATCATATGATTTTAAATATATAGTTCATAATTCAGGCATACTGTAACCGCCTCAATGTCTTATAAATAAAAAGGCTGTTAACATTTTTCGTGTTTTGCTTTCCATGCATATGCCTGTTATATGGAAACTTTCATTAAATCTGAATTTGTAAAACAGTTTGAAGTTGTCGTCTCATAACTAAAACAATAAATATGAGTCAGAGTGAAACAGAATTTTATTTCGATGCCTGAAATTGTGTTTACAATTCAATAATAACTTTAAGGTAAGGTATTGTCTACAGACAAGATCATTTCTTGTGAGAACATGGTTGTTGTACTTTGCATAAACAATGTGAAGGTGTAAAAATGTAGCTTCAAAAGTTCATATTTCTTAGATTGGAAACTTATATGTTTGTTAATCACCAAGAACCACCAAGAATAATGGAAACTTTTGTTTTTGTTTATCACCAAGAATATATGATCTAGATCTACAAAAACCAAGTTAATACTAATTTAGTCATTTTAATGACACGAAAAATTTGCAAAATGAAGCAGTCATATTGGACAAACCAACTACAGAAGGACAATAGCAATGCGACTATTTCAGTGATCACTGAAAACTGCGTGTATCAAGGATGCATTTATTTTGTTAACTGAATTTCTGTTTAAATGGTAAATGATAGGTCATCCTAAACAATGACAGTGCTAACTGATGTAGCTGATGACAATATGGAGAATTTATATATTGACACTTGACATAATATGGTACACGTTGAAATAATTCATTAAATACAAAATGATTTGATATATAGGACATTTAAACAATCAAATGCCTACGTATGATCAAAAAAGGTTATTAGGCCATTAGATTTTAATTTAGTTGATAAGGAGTCAAAAGCCAATGTGTTTGTGAAATTAAGCAAAATACTGACAAAGCCAATATTTATATATATAAGTATGACACAAGTTTTACAGTAATAAACCTTATGTATCTAAAAAACGAAGTATGTGAATATCAAACTGGTTATTTTTTTCTCCGAGTAATATATAACATACATACATGTATTGTAAAATATAAATGGTATGCAAAACTTTCTTATGTCACTCAGGAATGACACAAATTAAAACATTTATGTACATGAAATACAACAAAATATACAACTGACAAGGCGTATTTGAATATAGACAAGTTGTTAGACATTAAAGTTGTTATCATCAATATTTCTTTACTCCAACAATATTGTGATTTGAAGTCATAAGTAAGTAAGGTCAACTGAAATTTAATGTCTACGTACGGTAATAATTGCCACAGCTTTTTTTTCATTTTTGACATAACAAAAAGTATTCTAACGAAAACATTTGGAAAAATGGCCCTGTTTAGTTGATACATTCAGGCACATTTTAATTTATCAGATATCTTTGTCGTAAAAACTAACAATCTTTGCATCTTAAAACACGTGATTTCGTATTTTTTTGGTAAGCTCTCATGAAAATAATGGACTTTGTTTGTTTTTGTGATAGCAAAAGAAGTTAACTAAATGCACAATATCTCGGTTTCGGAACAAAATACAGACATAATATTTGGTATGACCTTACATTTTAAAAGCTTGATTTGCATTTATCGAATATGATGTCAAAACAAATCTGTCGTCATAATCAATTACAATTCTGAACACAGAGTTATTGTCACAGATGTTAAATGTTTTTATCCTGAACGACAATTTGTCTGTAATGTATATAACATTTTGAAGATAGCATACAAGATAGGTAGTAAAAAATATTATTAAATAGAAATATGAAATTTGGCATTTTTTAATATGCACATATATATGATTCTAGATAAAGAATCACACTACGAAGTTTCTTGCCATTCATTTGAGGTTCTTGTATGTAGTATCTGTATTTTTCTGTTTTCACTGTAAAAGAAATTGACATGCCATTGACATCCAGTAAATTATAACAATTATTAGACTATCTTCTTCGTGTAATTAGACGAATGACATAGATAGTCGCTTACAATTTATGTTCATATATAGGACACAGAAAATAAGTAGCTGAACTAATCTGCTGTTTAAACCACATAAAAGAAATAAGTGCATATCATAACAATAGCTATAAACATAATGATACTGCAGGTACTCTAACAAATTCCGGTAAGTACACGTTTGATATCAGTACCAATATCAACATACAAAGAAATGGACAATTTTGAAACTGCATTGACATTACAATTAAATAAAAAGTCGATACAAAACCACCGATCGGTGCATTATAACTGAATGTTTTATCTAAACAAAAATGCGTATAAGGAAACGACCAATATATTTAGCAGATAGTTAAGGATCTTTAGTATATTGTACTTTAACAACGATGTAGATTTAATTTAAGTACACAAGGGTTCATTGGTTAAGTACAGACTCTTGATCGTTTATAACTTTCACACAAGCAATAAAACTGGTACACTGTACTTTTATACCATATCTGTGTCAATGTCATAATGTCATGATAACTCACATTAGTGTACATCTCAACAATCCCAACGGACATTTCTCAAAATATTACATGTTTGACCATTGTTTAAATCGTGCAGATGAAATCGAAATTGAGCATGTACAATTCCTTTTCGTATTAGTATATCACTTGTTAACTTACATGCCCATGCAGGAAGGTCATGTTTTTAGCATTTTAACACACGAAGTTATATACTTTAAGAACATAACAATATAATAGTACTTGGTCATAACTACGAGAAATCATTTTAATCAATCACACCTACAGATAGTTAATATTTGAAGCTATCATGGATTTCGTCCAGTGAGTGAACAATCCTCTCCAAAAGGACATGGTCGGGAATCTAGAACCGGCACACCCTGTAGAAAACATGCAAGGAGCAACAATAAATTAACAACATGCAAACTGTTACGATTGGTTGTTTGAATAAAGGAATACAAAGAGAAATACTGTCCAGCTTATGGTATTCCTCGCTATAAGTTCTATTTGTTAAAGTATAAAATTGATAATTTTGTACCTGTTTAATAGTTATTGTACTTCTTCACGTTTGTATAATTACTCTGTCCACGTTCAATAGACAAGATGCAAATTAATGGCGGACAGTTATACGAGAATAGATATATTCAGGAAAATATGATCTTTGTTTTCACGTGACAGATGAAAGGGTTAGGAGGAATTCTAACTAAACAATTAGACTGGAAGGAGTAGGAATCCTATAATAACATATTAGTGCGTGCAACCATAGCAGCAATACCTTATTTGGCATTTCGTATTGGCAGCCAGGTAATGGAAAACCATCTTTGCCTAGAGGACATGGAGCATCTAAACCTGGAATACCCTGTGGACACATGTTAAAACTATCATCTGCTTCTTTACAAAGCTAAGTTTCGTATAATGACATACATTTAATCACTGTTTATGGAAAGGACGATGAATGTATGAAGTAATATTCTCATTTTCTCATTCGGATAGACATTTATTCTTGGTAGGGTTTAACTCAAAATAACATAAATGGAATTTCAGGCATCTAAGAAGTGCATTGTAGAATTAAAGCAGTGGCAGACTCATTTTTATGGAAGATAGTGTGAATGCATGCTGCACATACGCCCCCTAGCACCAGTGTAAGCCTTATCAAATATATTCACAAATCAAATGGTCTAATGCTTTTCAATTCTAAAATCATCTATAGCTGTGTTCATACCAGTTTATCTATACTATCACTCATATAAAGTAAAAAAAATTACCGCTGCGCCCATATCTCCTTTCTTTCCTCGTTTTCCTCGCTTCCCCTGCAACAGAAACACAGGCCAATATAATGGTAGTACTGACAGTATGAGTACAAGACAGCTAACCTCCGTTACATCATTTGAAGGACAATTCATTGAATATTGAGACTGACCAGATGCTCATTAATTGAATTAAGTATACAATCAAACGGTAAGTAATTGAGTTGTATAGATCTTTTAATTACAAAAGACATCTGCCGAGAGATGTCCAACTGAATGCGCACGCAAGAAAAAAACTGTATATACTTGGGATATTTTCATTAATAATAATAATAATAATATTTATAATAATAATAATAATAATAATAATAATAATAATAATAATAGAAACTTTTTTAGTTGAAACATTATCTAACATTTCAAAATGTCAGTTACCAAGTATTCTAATTTTTCTTCATAGGCCAATCCTCTAAAGTTTAAACGTATGTGTTATCCATATGATCTGTATGTTTTGAACAATCATTAACTAAATTAGTAACGGAGGACCATGTTGAAATGGTCATAGCAATAAAGTTAGTACGCGTTGAACTTACGTCTCGGCCCTTGTCGCCCTTTTCGCCTTTCTCACATTTGCAAGAGCCATCTATTGCTGACGTCACTGGCCCGGGAGGTCCAGGTGGCCCCTATTTATGTAGAACAAAGATTAATTATTTAGAATTGGCTTTGTATCCTAACAACTTATCAAATATGAATGGTATAAATAGAACATTTGTAGAAGCCACATTTTATATAAACTAATTAGATTAATAATCCTGATCGTGATGTTATTGTAGAAAGTGTATTATAATTAATAAAGATTTTTCCAGTTTATAATATTCTTTATATACGAAAAAAAATGAAAATTTAACAACGAAATTACCTTTAAGTCATATACAAGATGTAGTTATAAACACATTTATGTTTTTAAAGACTTATTTGTTATTTACAGTACATCGATAATTCAAACAATGATATTTGTATATAATACATGTTTGGGATTAGAAAGCAAAGCAGGTAAAGATATAAAAAGCAAATGCAAAGTAATATATTGAAATATTTTATTCCATTTCGATGCATTATGCCTAACAACATAATGTGCTTATCAACCAAGAGTGTGCAGCCCATACAAACTGACTTCTTTAAACTAACGTAAAACTAATAACTTTTAGAATGGGAAGATGGTTTATTGTAACTTCATTTATAGAACAAGTATTATTGGTGATAAATCTTTAATCATTCTAAGATATGTTCTATTTTAACAAAACTCTATTATTTTATTAATTGTCAATCAATCAATCAATCTTCAGAATGGTCTCTTGTACAAATCTCTAGTAAAAGATACTTTAGTCACTTGTTTATTTTATTTTAATATGTACTGAAAAAAAACTTGCAACCGTATTTTTAAGCAATATACTAGTATATTGATAAGAAAAGAGCACACAATTCATCTATACATAACATGACGATAGTCTTTTTATCAACAATTTCTCGAGCATACTTAAAATAATTTAATTTACAACAACGAATATAGGATTGACATTTTGCATTCACAGGCTACACATCTGAAAAGAAATGAAGTGAAAAATGATTTATCATGCACGTTTTACAGGCAACATTTAAGGTAGCAATAAAAAACATTCGGTAATTTACTTTGAAATGATTCAGAAACATGCTATTGTACTATCAAGTTTCCGCTGAAAGCAGTGAATTTTACATGCTTTGTTGTTTCAAGATTTTGTTATTATTTGGGAAAACGTGAAATGAATTTAAGGAGAATGTAATATTTGCTGTTTTGAAGATCACCAATATCATTACATGAATTCGATAATGAATGAAATAAACAGATTATAGAGCAAATAAAGTTATAAAATGTTTTAACATTTGTCCATGCAAACGGGCATTTATCTTTGATGATATAGCATTAATGTCTACACTAAACACTACAACAGCCAGATGAAGTTAGCTGGTAAATAAGGCTCACCGGGACTCCGGGTTCTCCCGCTGGTCCTTGCTCCCCCATGATACCTGACGTTCCCTAAATGAGTGGACAAATAATTGCACATATAATCACACGGGACAAAAGTAACTTAAATTGCAGCTGCAAATCACAATTACAGACGCAAAACATATGCGACTAAAATCCATATCTGTTAATCTATTCTGTAAAGAAAACACTTTTCAAAGTTCTGAATTATGTCATCCGTAATTGTGAACAGGGTGCTTAACATTGTGGTGCAACATACTATATAAAGTCACACTCGTGTTTACTTACAAATTCATTTCTTATGTTCTAATTCTTCAAACGTATTCATGCTTCTCTAAAAAGGGCTAAGTCTAAATGCACACCAAATGCACACAGGAATGCATTTACCATAGGACACTAACAATATGACATTTTCAGATGTAAAATCATCAATAAATTGACAAACATACCGGTAACCCCATTGGTCCAAAATCACCTTCATCGCCTTTTATACCCTGTAAAATAATACAACCAAATTCAATAACAAGTATACGTTTATTGAAAATATATATTTTTTCACGACATAGTAACGAAACACATAAAAAAAATTTCATTTGACTTATAACATGCGTTGTTATTTTTCATATCTTAAAAATGGAGGAGAATTCTACTTACCGGTTCTCCTTTTGGTCCAACAATTCCCCGATCACCCTGCAAATATTTTTAAAAACGTATTTATTGTCATATCTATATGGGTATGATAAATATTGATAAACAGACAATTTTAATAAAATATAATGTAATGTAATTGAAAAGTACTTAATTATCTCTCTTGATGAATATATAATTTAATTGTTCTGTAACCACGTTGATATGATGTTAACATGTAATCTTTTATTAAGAAGTGTGTTGTGTTGCAGGCAATATAACATACAACTCTGTTCAACAAGGGGAAATAATATAGGGAAACTATAATTATTTTATATTGTTAGTTACTACATAGTTGTCGTTTAGATTAGGTTTGGAAACACGCAGAACATGTACATAACATTAAAATGAAACAATTGCTGTCATTTTTTGTTTATGGTTAGTTTCGAGCAACATCGAAGGCGCAGATGAAAATGGAAAACTAAAATAATTTTAGTTAAACAAAACTACCAATCAGATAATTTTTGTATAGTTGGAGTCTTACAGAACATTTCAGCAGATGCTTCAAAATATTTCAACTGTTTCATTAACTTTTAAAAAATATATTTTAGTTGGTACTCGTAGATGTATACGTAAACAAACACCAATGCTACCGCTCATGAACATGCTCAATCCAATCGCACCAGTAACAGTTTTGATCCCGACGTACTTGCTTGCCGGCCATTAGGGGTCCCTTTTCATAATTTTCATGCAATGTACGCGTGTCTGATATACGTTGTATGTTGAAACACATATGGGTGACTCACTTTTGACATATGTTAGTAATTCATGCCAATTTAATAGCAAACAGTCATTAATACCTTAATTCCTGGTGGACCTTGAAGTCCCATGGTACCCTGAAGCAGTTCAAACCATACTTAGTTTTATCTCACAATCCATAATAGCTTTTACGATGAGTAAGAAATATTAATCACCCTGTACATAACCATAAAAAGTGAACTTAAATTCTGGCCTCTATAACGTTTTGTCAAATAAAACATATTTCAGACTTGATTGCTGTTTTATCTAGAAGAATTCATTAAAAAAATATGTTGACTTAATTTGACTTCACATTAAATAATTAGTCACAGTTGGATTTGTCACTTTTTAGACCAATGAAGGTAAGTATTGTTGAAGAGTGTTAATTAATCCATTATTTAAAAAAACGTGTTGTCTAACAGACCATTGCATCATTTTTTAATTGTTCAACATCCTCCTTAATAACCAAATGTAAATGTAAAGTGTGAGAAAATTGTTTCCTACCTGCGGTCCTGGTGGCCCAGGTGGTCCTGGAAGCTGAAATAATCAATGTTGAAAATTATATAAAAAAATTAACATATCACATTGATGAATGAAACGTAAAGTTTTTATTGGCTTATATTAATATGTATACTATATTAACCCTATCAATATACACTGCAACGTACGCAAATTTTATGCGGCTCAAAAAGACAAATGTGACTTCCACAGTGACACATTTTATAAGTCTGGTAAATAATATCACATGAAGAACATTTCAGACAAAACTTAACTTGTAACTATTATATTTTATTTACAGATAATGTTTCTTCTTCGATAATATCTATCACGTTACCATCGCAAACTCTTTTACATGGAACACATTTGTCTTATTCGTTAGGGCCTATCCATTTCTTGACAACAAACACAACACATACAACACTATAAATAATTTTTTGGAACACTGCGGTCACAAAACATTTAAGAATTACTAGTACATTTGTAAATGAAAATGGTGATGAAATATTTACCAGGTATATATTGAATGGAAAATGAGGTTAATATTTACGTACTGTACTCACCCCATCTCCACTTCCACCTCCTTCAATAACTAATGTCTCACCCTGTCAATAACAAAACAAAACCTTTCAATAATTATTCTCTCGAAAGTTTACTTTATTATTTCCGTATCCAAGCTTCGGAATTTAACGAGCTCAATGGAATCCAACCTGTATGTCATGCAGTTAACGATTGTGTCGATATGGTACTAGTTAGCATTCATTTAATGGAAAACCGGGACATCCTGACACTTGCTATCTGTGTTAAGACTTTAGCCATGCCATGCTTTCATGTCTTCGGTATTTCATTTCTATTTATAATACTTATTTTAATGTATACTTTGTTCTACTCAACATCTTGTAAAGGATGGTGAAATTCTAGGTGGTGTTAATAATTGTGACATATATGTTATGTTGTATGTTTTAAAATGGAACTATAATCCGACATTTTCAATTTCTTTGATCTTAAAAACGGTGTGTCAAGACGATCTTAGAAAAAGACTAAAAACAAGGTAGCATAATGCAACATACCTCTCTTTATTGGACATCCAACATCATATATCATGCATATTGGTTACGTGCATGCAAGTAAGAAAAAATGCAAAAAATGATGAAATAGCTGAAAATATATTAAGCAAATGTTTTTCTTTCTTATCTGACTAACGAAGTGTAAATAAAAACAAGTACGAGTATATACAAGCAAATTGAACAGAATATGATAAATATAAAACCCTTCTTTTAATTTAAAAAACAGGAAATAAAGCCGTAAGTATGATAGCATTCCTGTAGTTATAGAATTTATCCATAACACTTTAAAGAAGACTAAGACACAAACAATTGATATTATTATGAATGACAATGAACTTAAAACAGTACTAAATAAACGAAAGCAATGTATCCATATCTAGATAAAATATAAGTGTTTTACATACCGGAGGTCCTGGAAGTCCTGGGGGTCCGATAAGTCCCTCTGGTCCTATTGGTCCAACCGGACCTGGCTCTCCTTTACCTCCAGTCTTACCCTTTAAAATAAACAAGTTTTGTAAGCATCGTGTGAATATTTACATGATGACATACATTGCATTACATCACAAATGTTTAAAGTAATTTATTCCTACACTGTATTAAGTAAATTTTATGTAAACAATTCTGTGATTCCGAAATGCCATTTTCCCATATATATTTCCTGAGATTTTCTTACTTGACATTTTACACACAATCTGTAATGAAGACTATGTATACAGGGTAGATTTATTGATAAAGCTGTGGGAAAATGCGCTGCGCCTTAATTAGCACAACAAACAAAAAGAACAAATTAAAGTCATCATGCAATTCTACTCTAACGAAATTGTAAGACATTTTATAATCATGCCAACTACTAGTAAAATGATGCAAATGAATCAAACAACGATAAATTTTGCAAAGTTAATTCGTATAAAGCGCAAAATGATATAAAATTTAATGAAAACTAAAACATATACCACTAAAATTTGGAAATGTCGTATGGAAACTTGATGGTTTTTATAATGACTAGTCAAACTCTGAATTATTCTTTCGAGGAAATTTCATTTATAAAATTATCAAATGAAACAAACTGTAGTACAGGTTCTGATCAGATATACAATGTTGCAGTCTTTGCTGATCTGTTATTGATGTAATGATTTCTCAATATTGACCCTAGAGCTTTAAAAGTGTATCAGTTTGACAGAGTATATGAGTAGAACTAACAAACAAGAACAGAAAATTCAGTAAAAAATGTGATGCATGCCTAGAACAGGAGCATCAGAAACATAATGGAAAGAAACAAAAAGATCAAAGAGAGAATGTTATTTTCTGACAACAACCAACTCACTTGGGGTCCTTGGGGACCTGGACTTCCAGTGTTACCTGACGAGCCAACTTCTCCCCGCGGACCCTAGAAACGACAGACAAACATAACCATGATACCATAAAACAATAAGCGTTTTTCCCTCTCATAGCAGTCTACGACGACTGAGTAATGTATTAGTTAGCATCATGCTTTTATTCGAATAAACTGTTTTAGTATGCTAACTGTTTTTATTTTTTATTTAAAGTAACTGAGCTACAAAAATACTTCATTTAAACAGACAGGAACACATGCACATGAATTCGACATCTGACATGCACATATACTACACGAAGCACTCATATGTGTTTGGTTTGTATAATGCACACATGTTTTAAATGCAAAAATGAGAACGATTGTTTTAAACTAGATACTAGTATAATGAGTTTGTACCTCAGGTCCGGGCGGGCCGCTGTCCCCTTTTGGACCTTTAGGACCTGGATCACCCATGAGACCTTTAACTTTTTTACATTTGCCCTGTGAGAAAAGGAAAGGCAGTTGTTACCACAAGCAGTTTTGCTTAACTCAAACATAAATAAAAAAAACATCATCCTATATGTTGACATCTTGAACAATTACAACATAAATTTCAGTCAAAACAAAGTGTATAATTTAATTAACTTTCAATTATTTTCATTTTCCTTCGTATGTTATATACGTGTTTATTAGTTTAAAAGCAAATCATATTGTTTTAATATTTCTTAGTCTTATAAATATTCAATAAATGAACTTAGAATGTTAAATTCCTATTTCATTTATTTCAGTTAGTGTTTACCTTCTTACCGCGTTTTCCCCGAATGCCTCTGCGCCCTTTAGTTCCTGTCATTCCTTTAGGCCCTACTAGACCTGGTGGACCTTGTGAACCAGGTAAGCCTATCTCTCCTTCTGCTCCCTGTTTATAGTCAATATCTATCAACAATCAAGTATGTAATGTCCATGACGGTAATATGAAGTTAATAACGCACACTTGATATTCTTGGTAATCAAAAGAAAACGATTTCGTTTCAAAAATATTTCACGAAGAAAAGCAGTATCAAGAAATTAGATGTATGGTCTGCACAACCGAATATCAAATGCACATTAGTATTAAAAGGCTTAATCCCTAAAAGGATTGAAATATATACCAAACAATATACCATATTTTAAACTTGATATACGTGATAAGCATTATAATAATTATACATGTATATATTTATATAAATATTTTGGCATAAACAGCTAATTACAAATAATAATATCTAAGCAAGCAATAACATGGAGAGAAAAATCAAATGACTGCAGCTATAAATATCCACCACCATTTATCATGCTTCCATGCATATATAACGAATCCGTTTATATACATCTACATATCTGTATACCCTTGGTCCAGGAATATATCTAATGCTCTCCCCAATGGTTGTTTCGCGGCGAACACGACTTATTATATGTTGATTACCATCTTCATCAGTGCAAATCTTTGTCTTTCTCCTCTCACGGCTTTCTTTGTTTTTCTTTTTACGATTTCTTCTCTTGCGTTTGACAACGGGTTGGCCAGGAACCGATTCTAAAGCATCTGGAGATATGTCTTCGGTCGTCTCAGGATTAACAAATACTTCTAGTCCGCCAGGACTTTCTGTTCCTTCGATTCCGTCTTCACTATCGTGTTCATCGTCGGTACCTTTCTTCCTTGCTTTGTGCTCGGTTCGTGGTATAACTTCTAATCGGCAACGTCTTCTCTTCTTCTCACCTGACCCATACTGACCCGACAAAAATAGAGTCAAATTTGTTTGGTTGATGTTCTTGCTACTCAGTTATTAAACAATAATTAACGAACTTATGCATAATATATTTGCTGCAGTCACTTGAAGAAAATGCTGCAGTCATCACCCCTTTGTGTTTGTTTAGGGAAATGTTCCACAGTTAATTATTTGTCTATCACAACTAAATCCTTTTATCCTTTTATGTAAACATGTGTGTATCAAATTGAGTTTGCCCAAACTACATTTCCAAGGGAGTCTGTGACTGCAACAAACATTCATAGTATAAATAAAAATATGAAGAAAAGAAAACGATAAAGGTGTTTTGTTGTTTTCTGTTCTCACCCTCTTTCCTCTCGGACCTCTAGGCCCGGGAGGTCCCATTAAGAAACCAGCAGGATAGTTCTCATTTATATCTACAGGTCCTATTCCAGTAGTTCCTGGACCGACGGGAGATGATCCGCCTACTAGAGGTAATCCAGGTAAACCAGGATCACCCTAAATGAAAAACCATGCACATGTTATATTAGGAACAACACATGCATGCAGAAACGTTCATAAGTGCACGATTTTCCTCCCTTCCTTATCTATTAAAACACTATCTAAGAAACAGAACCGTGCATGAAGTATAGTAGTCTTAAAATAAATGTATTTTTGATTTCAACATAAAATATAAGACTACGTACATGTGTGCATTATTCGAAGTAATGTAAGGTTATTTGAAACATAATGTAACAGAAAACTGTATAGGATCTTACTCATAGCATGCAATGTGCATATAAACATGCGCGCCTTTCAGACCGAAAAATATTTATCACAAACTTTAAATATAGGCAGGTATTGATTGTCAAAGTATGCACACATACATTTGATAATTTTCACTGAAAAACTTCACCACTTCTTACTTGAGGATACAAGTTCCCGGTCAATCTCTACAGTGTTTCGACATAAATGGACATTTGTAAAGAAAATATGTGCATATAACATTTGTGATACAACCAATTAACATGCGCTGTTTTTCGTGTCCTTGCATATAACAATTTAGATCATTCAATACTTATTTAGCTTAGCTACTTTCAAGAACTTTATATCCGAAGAAAAATAAAACTTACAGGTTCTCCCGGCCTCCCATCACGCCCCTGAAAACATAAATCAGTGTACCTTTGAAAACTTTATCCCAGTTATTGCTTTTTATTGAATATCCCTATCTTGTGAAGGATATTTGAATGAATATAAACTTCAACTCAAACTGTCTTTGAAGATACATTATTCATTATACTAGCTAATTTCTGTTCGTATTTGTTTTCATCCTTTCATTTTAAACTATACATATTACTTATATAAATAAACGAAGACTGCCCGCAAATTCATTTATGTTGTAACTATGATAGTTTAATAAAACAAATAAAAGGAAAACATGATAATATATTCTAATGCACAACTAAAAAGAAAGTAAGATATGTTACCTTTGGTCCCGGCGGACCTGGAGGACCCTGCAAATAAATAAACCGTTGAAAACCAAAGACATAAGTTTAAAAATGATGCCGTATAGTAATCTTTACGTAATAATTTGGTCAAGAAAGTCTTTGTTGGACAAAATAACTTTTCTCAAGAAATACATTATGTTCACTAAATATAAAATGTAATAAAAGCAAAGTAATTTCGTTTTGTTTAGATTCCTTACGTAATAATATTTTGTTCTAAACCGCCAGAACAGATCAAATTATAACTTACTGGTGGACCAGGGGCTCCTGTTCTGTCAACACCGTCGAATCCTGGCAAACCTGGAGGTCCGGGGGGTCCGGATGGACCAATTGGTCCAACTTTACCAGGTTCTCCCGGCTCACCCTGAAGTTTATTTAAAATAAGTTAATAAAACTTTATACAAGTCAAATAACAGGACAGACAGGCAAAATATTATACTATAAACTGGTTAATATTTGCTCATTTGTGAAAGGTGTAAAGCTTAAATCAAATATTAATGTTGTGTTTTGCGCTGAATAAAACTGTTTATTATGTTCACAGTAGCTTTATAGTTGTGGTAAATTAATAGTTACATAAATTCAAATTTTCATTTACGTTCATTATCTTTATACTTTTAAAAAGTTATATAATTATATGTATTATTTAATTCATTTACGTTAACGACAATAAGTATAAACATAAAGAAAGATACTTTTAGTGTAAGAATATTCTCCTCCCATTGTGGTCCTATCCCTCCCGGTAGACCTGGAGGACCCCTCTCTCCCTAGCAACATGCAAATATACACGAACATGCGTCACAACATTTACTTACTTAAATCATTTGAGCCGCGTCATGACAAAACCATCATAGTGCGTTTGCGACCAGCATGGATCCAGACCAGTCTGCGCATCCGCACAGTCTGATCAGGATCCATGCTGTTCGCTTACAAACCCTATAACAAGTAGAGAAACTGATAGCGAACAGCATGGATCCTGATCAGACTGCGCGGATGCGCAGGCTGGTCTGGATCCATGCTGGTCGCAAACCCATTATGTTGGTTTTGTCATGACGCGGCTCATTTAATTAATCATGCTTTACAACAAGATTTTATTCAGAAACTTTCAACAAGTACAAGTTAAAGTCATATTAATTATGCTACAACTGGAACAAAATTCAATATAATACGTTCCTATGTACATATACGATGGATGCAATGATATATCAATGGAGAGGGTCATAAGTATAAGAAACAACAAAACGTTGAACAGATACAATGTTGGTCAATGTATATTTTCTTCACATGCCTCGACATCCACCAATTCTACCTTTCCCAACAACGAGGACGAGACAAAAACAAAACCCAAACAAGACAATGCAAACAGCATGCTGAAGGTGACATCAAATATTTAAGAGGTTTTATGAAAATATTTTCAAGTATAAACTTGCTTGAGATAAAAATTAAATTTGTGCAGTCTGAATGCATCTATTCATGCTTAGTTACATGCATCGACAACAGTTAAGACCTTTATAGTAATAACTTCCACAGCAGGTTTCTGAAGCTGAACAACGTCATATCCATCTCGGACGTCGTCAATTTTTCGCAGTGATCGCTTCTGACCCGACTGAAACAGCAGCTTCAGTCTTAGCACGGTATGCACGATATTTTCATTTTTATAAAACTTAATATGAATTTCTTATTAATATTAGGACTATGCAATTTAATCTCTTGCTAAATAATAATATTAAATTCAGTACCTTACATAATTGGTCGAAATTGCAACTGACTCAAACAAAGAGTATTCTTTGCGTATTGTTGCCTATTATTGAAAGCAGTACGATCGTAAATAAGAACAAAAACACACTTTTTAACTGTAGTACAAAATATTGCTGTTCATTTTGTCCGACAAAATAGGCTTTAAGTAAAACATTCAAAGAAATTTTTAAACGAACAATTCTGTTTCGTTTGCGTAAAGGGAAACTTAGACATGAAGACTAAAAGAAAGTATACCTTTTCACCTAAACCATCAAATCCTGGCAAACCGTTATCACCTTTATCGCCTTTGTCTCCCTTTTCGCCCTGGTAAAATACAATAATTATAGTCATAGAAATTTGTCCGGCATAGGTATGCAATGAAGTATATTTGAAAGTGTTAGATTTAACGATTTATTATATACCTGTTTATATTTTGGTACATCAACTGCAAGTATCACGTGCAAACAGGACGCTCAAATACGAAGAGGCAGAAAGAAAAATTTATATTATATAAGATTGTAATCCGGAATGACGTTGTTGAAGTGCCATTACGTCATGATTGAATATTCGTATAATTAAAATATTCGAGGAGGTATTTTGATAAAAGGGTCATTGAATGTTTAGTCTTTTACTTGTACTTGATTCTCATGCAGTTTTCTACAGCGCTTACGCGCCTCATGGAACCCGGACTATTAAAATAACAAATTCAAGACCAACGTCCTATTTTATCACATAATTCGCTTGTTTTCCGTATAATATAACCATTTATAAATTCAATATTTATCTTAATAAAAAATATATCTTTTTGATATATACTTATAAATGAAATGTGTTATTAAACATATATACTTACAATATCGCCTTTACTGCCTTTTAATCCTGGCAGTCCCTGGAATTGATAAAAATCTTAAAGGGATATTCAGGCAAAATAATGACAAAAATATAAATATGATCTTCTGTACTCAAATCACCCTAAAATGACATTTCTTAAAGTCCTAGCATGAATTTCTGTATAAATTCTATATATTTTGGGTTTGCAGCTTAAATATATCTATATATGTTGAACGATATTTAGACGCCAACAGAATCACCGAATAGTTTAAAAACAAGTCATGTGATTTGAACAAACCCTGGAAGTTACAATGACAAGTATTGTGGATATTGTATGATTGAAACAAGTCTAAGTAATTGATTTGACATGCTTTTTAACGTTTCCAGAGCAACAGTGACAACTATTGTGAATTCTTAGCGCTCTAATCTGACCCACGCGGGTCAAGTTAGGAAAACACCATTTTATTGTTTATATGGAGAAAAGGTTTGTTCCTTTGACTGTTTAATGTAGTCATTTTGATGAAATTTACAGAATAATGAATGAAAAATTCAAAACTAAGAAATTAAAATTTTGCCTGTGTCTCCCTTTAATGACATAAAGCGAAAATTTATCAAATAATATGTTTTGGAAACTATAATTAATAACTATACAAAACACATGCAGATTATTAAAACTAGAATTTAAAGTAACCATCGCCTTTTAAACTTAAATTTTTATAATTACATGTATATACGAATTCAGTCAAAGCACTGAAAGTGCTGATAGAGCGACACGAGTTTGGCCAATGCAAAATAATCTATTCGGCAATTTTTCAGTGAAATGAAGAGGACACAGTGACTGTGTCAATTGTTACATGAAAAGTGGCATATATGCTTCAACGCGCTTTGATTTCAATACGTACAAAGTGAGTAAAAGTTAATGTACATCTTTAAACAGTCTTAATCAAACAAAAAAGTTTTATACTTGAGAAAAAATAAACATACAAAAAACAGCAAAGTTGTAAAAAAAATTGAACTACTAAAACTGTACATAAAATATTGTAAACAATTAAATGACTGAAATAGCTATATAGTTTTTGAGGAGTGCATGATGGTTATACTTAGGTTTATTGCAGTAAAAATATCTCGTACATATGTTAAATAGATTGTTATAACCTCTCTCAAAACTTACCATTTGACCTTTTATGCCTATTGGGCCCTGAAAGAGAAAACGATATACAGTTATATACAGTTAATAAATGGAGATAACATGTGTACTTACCGAAAATTCATACACAAATAGCTTTGTTGAGTAACGTTATATAATCAAACAAATTATTAATTTCTCTAAAACAAAACAGAAGTCATTATCATACTTCATCCATGAAACGTATAGATTACAGAAAAACAAAACAACTACATACTTTATACAGGGAAAAGCAAACTTAATCGTTTAAATTAAGTTGGTTTTTTAAAATATTCATTTTACATGTAGTTACCTATTATTTCTATTAATTTCGGTTTAAAATAAATAAACGTTTTTTTTTTGTCTAACAAGATAACCTGAACAAATACAATTTTAGACAAAAAGCTCTTAAACACACGGTAAACACGGTTACTTAAAAATATAATTAACGAATTAATATGCAAATTGACATAATATTGATATTATATAATAGTAATAGTGAGATTCAATGTCTACTGGAAGGTCTTTAGAAAATTTAAATAACTGGTTACATCTTATGTTTTCATGCAATATACAAGTAATTCATTATCTTTCAAACTATGAAATATGTGTGCAAAGATGTTGAAATATCCTGAAATGTGAAGTAAAAGAAAGCAATTCAGTATTGTATGAAAATAAGTCATGTTACAATAGATTTGGCCCCTATACTGGCCAAAATAAGTTAAAGAATACAATGTGCGGGAAAGAAAATGTTAAGTTGTGAAAGGAAAAGTAGAAACAATGTTATTATACACACGGTCACAGGATATCGTAAAAGAAACAATTTTACGTAAGTTAACAAAATAAATTATGAATACAATTTCCAGACATTTTTCTATGCATCGCCACTGACAACCAGTGTATTGCATCTAATGAACTTATTATGTGGTAAAGTTAACTTTCAGATTAGGTTTCTTTTCAGATATCCTATTTGTGGCAAAAAGAACAGTGTGAGATTCAAACGTATAAGTGGTGAACACAAAACTTTAAATATATGCATTTTAACGTGCTACTGTTGATTGTTCTACCATAATGGGACAAGAATATATTCGTGTATCTTCATTACTTAATCAAGTGAACTCGTGGAATAATATAATTCTATTCAACTCGTTCAGTAAACAGTATTGAATCTACACTCATTCATTCAATATTCTCCATTCTCCATTTATGCTTCTTGGTTATATTAAAATTCATATTAAAAATAAAATTTATTTATTTTGATAAAAAATAAACCAAAACAAAACAAAAATTTGCTTTATATGGAAAATAAATAGGAATAAAATACATATATCATATTGTTAACTTTAGACGTTCAATGGTAAAATGCACCTAACAGAGATTCTCATATCCGACTATTTAATGGGTTTTCAGAAAGTTTTCACTTTTTATGAAATACAACGAACTAGGCAACATGTTAGAAGAGAAGACATATATTTGTTTTAGATGTAGACATGCTGTAGTTTAGAAGTCAAATGTTTGGGCATATAACTTTAACTTTGACAACATTGGGCATACGACTAACCGGAAATCCCGGATACCCACGTCCACCCTTCTCACCCTGCCAATAAAAGTAGTATACACACATGATTATCTGATTGCTGTAACAGTTACATTGACGTTAATATGAAAAAGCTATCATAGTGATCATTTTGTATCTGTTGTATAGAAAACATTTATAAAATGTAGGTCATATATATCATAGGCACTGTATCAGTCATACTGGCCACTCTATCTTCGATATTGTTTGAAAACTTGCAATGTCACATCCGCTTAATTTTCTGGCATTTTCTAACAAATGTCTAAAATAAGGTGTTCAAACTCCCAGAAAAGGATTGAATGCAAACATAAACATAAAGGCTCTATCATTCTATTTTATCTACTTTCTCGACACACAAATGGTACTAATAAATTCCTGAATCATTCGAGCAAGTTATAACATGCTCTAATATACCTTCCTCCCTCGATTACCCCTTGGACCGATTTTTCCCTGAAAATCATACGGCCAAATTAATATAAAAAATCTGTCAACTTGTCGTATGAAAACGAAGGTATCAAATGTCAAGAGAAATAGAAATGATGCCATACCCGAATGGCTGTTAATATAATGTTATGGTGTTAACAAAGGAGAATAGTTCATTAATAACCTAAATTTTTAAAAAAGCATTTGTTTATAAGCCTAAACGTCAAAACTTGTTTCCAATGGTCAGTATAGTCTTCTGGTCACATACATTAAACAGTAACGTCATTGTTTACTTTGGCTGTAGAAATTTCTGACAAACACCAATATTTTGTTTTTGTTTATATTTTCATTCCCAAAGAAAATCTGAAACTGATAAAACTAGAGATATTATAAAACTCATTTTGCTCGAGGTGTTTCATAGCAACTGCGCGCTCTCTAAGATATAAACATATATCTAAAATTTATTTATTTCTTCTTGCTAATAACGAATAAGATGTTTTATTAAGACCACATTGACAGAGAGCAATGAAACCCGCTGTGATATTAATTTATTCCATATCTTCGAACGTAATGTGGTTTAACATGAGCAAGAATGAGTTTTTCTCACATTTATCGAAAAAAATGTTTTAAACAGGATATAGATGCTATTCTGTGATATGTTTAAAAACGAAAATGCACTTTATGATTACTTATTTGTACTTTGTTGTAATGAATATCAAACAGCAATAATAATAAACTTTCTGAGTAAATAAATAACTTGTACCTGTAATTAAATAGAGAAAAACAGAATCCCTAATGAAAGCCCAACACGGCAAAATTGTAAAATGTTGCAGACTCGGTTTGATTGAGCCTGTTCATGGACGGTACTGGAAAGTGCAAGTTACCTCCATGCCCCCCTAGCACCGGCTTAAGCAGAATTCACCATTTAAACACAAAAAGGTGAAATTTTGAATTTTGAAACATCCGCAGATGAGAATCACTTTACATGTGATTGAAATTTTAGACATGATATTATAAGTTGGAAACGCAGAAGTTGTTGTATATATTACTACTGATACAAAAGCTTGATGTTAATATATTGCCCTCTTCACCAAAGGTTAAAAAGCATAAGCAGTATAATAAGAATAAATGTTCACATCAGATTCTTAAAACATTCCTACCGGGAAACCAACAGCCCCCTGTAAAATAATAAAATTAAACAATCATAATGCCAATTTTGATTCTTTTTCTGAATAGCGTGTCTTCATTTGTGTGGTTTTACTTCATTATAGTATATGAGTGCGTCTTCTTCAATTTTCTTGTATATATTTATTGTGTAATGAAATTTTAGGAATATATGTATATAAGGTATATATGTATAATCTGTCCCTAATCTCAAATAAGTTGTTTATATCTAAAGAATATTCTTGTGTATGTCTTTGTGTTTATATGTTGTTTGCGACTATTCGTGTGAATAAGCAATGTACATATAAGTGATTTAATTAAAGTGTGTTGATGTCAATTCATGACAGTCCTTAGCTTAAGATATTTAAATATTTTATTGTTTGTATATGTGCCCTTGTGTGTTCTGATGTGTTTGAATGTTTTAGTTTTGGTTATGTGGTGCGTTTTATGAGGAAATTGTTACAGAAATCTATTCTAACTGTCATAAAATGTACAGGTTGGGAATCCAGTCTTTAAAACTAATGAATTAAAGTCTTTAAAATTAAAGCCCAATGCTAAATACATGAAATACGTGTTCATGCATCTATGGTGGAATTATGGAAATTTGAATGCAAATGAAATTTCTTGCACTCGAATGCAATTTCTTGCATTTTTCATTAAAAACTGAAATATAGTACGTGGTAAGCATAAAGACTATTTATGAAAGATATAATATGTAACAAGTATTAACTGCAATCATTATAAGTTAAAAAATCATCATATGTTCCGGTCATCAAATATAAAGATATTAGACATTGGTATTCATATAAACATGAAATAATATAGTCCTATACTTGAACAATAACTAAGGGGCACTTAATTATTATCATTCTAATAACTCTTCCCCCAATTTGTGCTTTTCTTTGTGAGTTATTGCACATAAGAGAAAAAATAATTTGCTTCGGAATTATTTCCAGCCTAAACACAAGGGTCTAGTAGAAAAAATCGCACAAATGAACATAAAAACATCAATAAAAGAGAAGTAAAACATAAGTGGTACTTGTGTTCACATATTTTTCCTGGCATAACCCAAAATCAGGTGTCTATCATTATAATGAAAGACATTGAATTTTATGTAGCACTTTGTTTTTAATGGTTCTTAATGAATGTTGCAGATTTTAAGCGCGGGAAAATGATGCGTGTGGTTATACACGTTCTTTGGGAGCGAAGATGCCATAAGAAAAAACAACATCATGGCATTTTGATATACACCGCATTTCACAAATGTCAAGGATATTTATATAATAATAGTACTGATTTTCTGTGGTTTGGTTATAAAACGCTTCGGAACTGTTTAGGTCAGTTACTGACTTTCGAACTTTAATGGTTTACGAAGGCACACTTGAGATTCCCATCCGGAACTTAAATTGTTACAAAATCTTACAAAAGCTTTAAGATTAACTTTCTAAACACATAGCAAACTCATCAACATTATCATAATCACTTCTGCATTAAATAACAATTAGTTTTAAAAGGTGCGAGTTAAAATTAAAATAAATCTATTTAGCAGACATTTAATTTTGCAAGTTTGCTTTTAAGAGCAGTTTTTAGCAAATAAAAAGAAATTCATTAAATAAAAATACTAAAGCTGCCTAATATAAACTTGACATCAAAATATGTACCGAACAAGAGCTCACAAAAATTTTTGATATTGGCACAAATGTGCCTTATCATACCCCCTCCCCCATTGAAAGCATTGAAATTAAGCATTTTGGTTTGTCATGAAAGTCTATCATAATATGACAAACTTCATGATTCCGTCATTACTTGTCTGCTATATTATTTGTACCTTAAGGGTAATTATGAAAATGAAAAAAAAAAAAAAAAAAAAACAAAAACAAAAAAACAATAGAAATAGATGTTGTTTTTTAATTAAGAAAATTGTTAAAGAACACAGTGCTTTCACTGTGAACTTTTATTCGGTACATATATATACAATTTGTAATGCTTGCACGATTAAGGTAAAACTGAAAATTTTGACATCTTAAGAAATTATTGATATGAACGACAAATACACCTACCTGATCACCCTTGGGTCCCTGAGGTCCTGAAATATACAAATACAGATATGGTCAGCAATATATAAGGAACATAATAAATCATTTTGTTGTTGTTGTTTTTGCTTTGTTTTTCGAAAGAAAGAATAATACTCATGTATGCTCTACTGTAGTCAAGTTTAATAGCCTATGAACAATAAAACTGGCTCGAGCTGATTTTATTTTATAAATGAGCCGCGTAACGACAAAACCAACATAGTGCGTTTGCGCACAGCATGGATCCAGACCATGGATCCGCGCAGTCTGATCAGGATCCATGCTGTTCGCTATCAGTTTCTCTACTTGTAATAGGGTTGGTAAGCGAACAGCATGGATCCTGATCAGACTGCGCGGATGCGCAGGCTGGTCTGGATCCATGCTGGTCGCAAACGCACTATGTTGGTTTTTACGTGACGCGGCTCATTTAACAATCTAAAAATTTTGCCATTTTGATACATAGATATTTAAATGCAGAGCTTTCATGCGGTATAGTTTTGTGCAAATTGTTTCTAGAAGTTTATTTTAACTGCTTACCACAGTCCAGAAAGCAAATAACATATATAGACAGTTTATAAAACACAAGGTTACAACACATGAATTTATACAATAAATTTAAAAACAATATTCGTATAAAAAACATCAATCAGTAAGTCAATGGTGGCTACACAAAAAATGTTACCATTTAATAATGTTATAATTTAACATATCCCGAGTATAACTCAACAGTTTCAAAGTAATTTAAAAGTAAAAGATTGCAAAAAAGACACTTTAACTTTACCTGAATAAATTTCTAATTTAATTAGATGAAGAAAGAGATGATTTTTGTTTCTTGTGTTTCTTCTCTTTATTTGACTGATACCTAACACTTTGTTACACAGTAGTATTATTGAAAACTGATAAACACTATATGTTTTTATTGTAAACGTCAAATATACTCGTATGATTGATTTTGACGAAATACGTAAATGCAAACCTGATCCAAAGAAATATTTTGCAAACTCTTTCAGACATTTCCAATTTTTCTTGTATACAAATTAATTTGCTTTCGTAAAAAGATGGAAATTTAAGTCAAATATACGTAGTTTGTATCTAAAATAAAATTTCTACATCGCATTTATTTGGAACTGAATAAAAGATAAATTTTTCTTCTTTTTTTCTTTAAATAAACGGAGAATGATGAATTCTTTCTGTCAGACAATGATACTTTAGATAGATCGCTTGCCGCAATTGAAATGATAAACCAATTAATCTAGATCATTTGCAAGTTGATACAACGCGTGAAGCACATTGCAGACACGTGACTGCTTCTTCGGTTCATTCATTTTCATCTCATTTTAATGCAGTTTGCAACCATAAAGATTATGTAATCGTGCAATTTGAAACGACCCATGTACAACAAAGTCTAACATTTAATAAAATTGCACCTTATGGCACCATGATACGAAGCTGTCAAAATTGATTGTTAAGTTGCGGAATTCCTGCGGGCGGATGCAAATGGTTCATTTAATAATGGTCATGAACATTGCCAAAATTTAGAAATTTAATGCAAACAGTTGCAGTTGTAATTGAAATCATCTTGAACGAGTAATCCCAGCTGTAGGTGTGGATCAATTCAAAATGGTATTTTTTATATGTTTAAGTTACAAGATTAAAAAAGATCTAAACCTTAGAAGTTACCCTTGTGCAAAATGTAAAAATCTCTAAATGACAAGTACTAACATTATTAAATACACCTGTTTGTACAATGAAATTTCAATGAAAAAAGGGAAAAGGCCAACATCAACAACACGTTTACTAGCAAATAATGTAGTTATGAAATTAGTTTGATTAAAACAATAAATATCACCTCAATCAGTTATTAAGGACATTATTTCGATATAAATGTCGACCGACAGTAAACCATATTGTAAACATTTTACATAAGACGTTTTTCATTTAGATAGGGTACAATGGTTTTCGGTAAAGTTTGCATTTTTGGTAGTTTGCAATAAAGGAAAATATATTTGAATTCTTTTTTTACACATCTTCACTCAAAAGAGCATGCAATGCTTGTTTCTATTAGCACTTATTATGTTATTACACTAAGCTGACGATAATTATATACATATTACGCATGACATTATAAAAAGTGTAAACTTTTTAAACCTTCGAAAATGTCCAATATATAAAATATTAAACGCTGTTCGACAAGATAAAAGATTTTTTTTCTGTATTTGACATTGTAAAGAAAACTGCTGTGAATTGAGACTCATTAAGAGTAGTTTTGATATTGTATTCTATATATGGTCAGAGAGTATATTTTGTTATTTCTATACCTCAGCATTTTAACGAGAATGGGTCAAGAGACCCATCTGAATGAGGTTATAGCACAGATAGCCCCCTTAGACAGGCTGGTATGATCAAATATAATTTCCTTTAAATTTGGTGTAATAATTTTAACTGTGATAGAAACTTACAAACACTAGTCGTAAAAACATTGCAAAACAATTAATCGGCAGACCGAGACCTAGCTACCTTAATTATCTTATTCAATTTCATATCTGACAGATAAAAGAAAGAAAAAAAAACAAATATCAGATCAAATGTGCATATTCTTTATCTTGTTGTTCCAGATACCATTTAAGTGTTTAACAAAACAATTTTCTGACATGAGAAATAAAACTGTCATTAAAAAATACAACAAACAGTTACAGATATTAAGTTTTTTACCTATGTTAACTGCATACAATATGCAGAAGCACCACTTGCTTGAAAACAGTTTTTTTTTAAACAAAAAAGAACAAGGAAAAAAAACGTTCAGATTACAAAAGTAAATTTGAAATATTTTTAAGTAGTTTAGAGTTGAGGTTCTGGAATATATTTACCAGTCTATCATTGAGATATCTTGTCAAGATAGGCTAGCTCATCGATAGATAGAATATCACATTAACACACGACTACAAGAAAAAAACATCACTCTTTGGACAGCTGTTATAGAAATATTGAGCGTTTTTATCACGATCATGTATAGATAAGAACAACATTTTCATGTTCAATTTGTATTGTTTGTAAAACCTGTTTCAAGCAAGATTTATTCAGGATAGAATGCTGGTGAATGGCGATGAATTATAACATGTAGCGCAACAAGCATCTAACGTGGAACATAATAATATTTCTTTTATCTTAAAGAAACTGAAATAAAAACAACTTAAGAATATAAATAGAAGTTAAAACAAAGTTAGATTTGCAAATAATTCGAAATTATCATCAATATGAGTTTATATATAAATATTTAAAATAAAATACGAAACACCCCCAAAAGTTACTTTACTGAAAAATAAAACAATTATATTTCGTTTGATCCATGATAAATCAAAGACTGCAATACACAGTAAAGGGCAAGGGATTTTAAACGTTACAATAAAAGTAAACAATTTTCTTAAGAAAACCCCCAAAAGTAATAGCAGTGTAAAACATTTGTTTGACGCCGTTTTATTATGAAGTAATTCAGTTTCACAAACAGAGATACGACCATAATTGAATCTCATTTGTTGAGTGATTTTATACAGTCTCACACAATATCGTTATTTTATTACAAAGTACAAAAGGTTCCACCCGACAAAGATTTGCACAAAGCAAATTTTAATTGTCAAACTGTGTGAATCCGAGAGCGTCGGCAGACGAGAAATTATGAAACAATCGTTAAGAATGTGATGATGCAGAAAAAACAACAAACCATTATAATAACAGAGATGGGAAATTAAATACATCATGATTAAATCTTCAAACAAATACAAACTTCAAATGTTGGTTTAGATTCTCCAATGTTATATGAAACGGTTTCGTTTTCTGATAAAACAAATGAAAGTATAAGTATATCTAACGACATTGACAACATCTCCAAAATACTACCTTCTCTCTCTTGAAATGAATGAATTTTTAAATATAGCCCACAGAGAAATTGCTGACTCAATAACAATTATTACGTTTTGGTCAGTATATATAAACTTGTATTTTTTTTCTCCGTTTCTAGAATTAAATTTCTCTCCGAGGTTGTTGATGGTAATTCCACGTTGAACTCTAAATTTTACGCTTTGCATGCATTGCTTCTTCTTGAAATTCCAGAAAACAACAAAACTGTCAGATTAATGTTATTTTCACGCGTGTTTACTTCTCCTTAGTATACACCTTATTTTGTTTATATTGTGTTACAGCAAACTTAAGTCTAATCGTTCGAACATACGTGTGCAAAGAACCTTCAATTGTTTTTCCTATCAAACTGTGCGGAAGAAAAATACCAGCATATCGCAATAAAAAGTGTTGAATAAATAAAACTCTTAGCATTTTGTGGTCTTGTGAAGCATCTACATGCATAGCGTTTGTTTTGGAAATTAGAAGATTGCACTTAATAAAAATATCTCTTTGGTGTTATTACCTTCGTATTATTACAATGAGTAGTGTTCTATATAATTAGAAGAGACATTGCTCTTATGATACACAATAATTTGACTTGAAAATATCGCTGTATACATTTGTGTATCAATTCTTTTTTCAATACATTTTCTGTCTTTTAACAACATAACGCCGACCGTGTCTTTAGCTTCCATATACGTAGCTAGATAAGTTCCAGGTTTGGCGCTACATGTCTGAAAAAACCAACACGGTAAATATAGATTATAGCCTTATATGTGATTTTTCAAGAGATGGTAACGTTTCTTTATGTAAAAATGTGTTTCTAAGCCCAAATAATTAACTTAAATGTGCTGAAATTTAATCCTCTAGTTTTTACATTATCATAAAATAGAGTTGTACTATCAAGATGATTCAATTTATTTGAAAACGAAATCTTTTGGATCATGCAAATAATACAATGTCCTTATATGTTACTGTAAGCGCGGTAATGAAATAAACAACGAATTTACCGTACTGTCTACTAGAAAAGTAGTTAAAATAAAGTAATACGTCAACGGTCACATTTTGCTTAAAAACTTCCTATAGATAATTATATCATTTTGCATCATCATCTCTGACC